CATGAAGGCTACTAACTTGTCTTACTTTTATTGCCTTTTTTTTCTTTGATAACCTTGATTGTGTTCATTTGTTTAATTTTGTTGTATAGTGATTGCTTTGTCTTGATGTATGCTGCTTGTAAAGCTAAGATGACATTGTTGTAGATGTGGGTGATTGGGAACCAGATGTTCTTGGAGACTCAGGAGCTAGAATTTGGTGTCCTGATCTACTGCAAGAGGGTCAGTGGCATCATCTGGTATTAGTATTGAATCGTGCTGTTCTAAAAAATTCATCTTTCTCGATATACCTGGATGGTCAGCATGTTCATACTCAAAAGGTAAATCATATAAAGGCTTCTTGATACAATATGTACTTGCTTTATTTCTGATGATCGAACATTTCATTTAATCAGAACATGTCACTATTCTGCACCAGTAACATAGCTTAATAATCAGCAGAAACGAGTTATTATTAAGAAGAGATGTGATATTTTATACTATTTCTACTGTTATAATAAATTTATTGCAAACAAGAAGTCGTAATAATGTTGCTCCATTGTATTAATTCTTACATAGATTCTTTCTTACATACATTTTAAAATGGGGGTAATGACACAGTTGGAGCAAATGAGTGATGTGAGAATAAAATAAAATTAAAAATTTTTCATTTTTACATTTTTTACTTTATCAAAGCCTTTTCTTGCAAACTGCAATTTGTGAGCTTCCAGAGCAACATCACTGTTGCTGATATTGTTAGAGGTAATGATCACAAAATGTAAAAACTGTAGTTAATCTATGCTTCAAATTCAATTTTAATCAAATTATATTTTTTCCTTCATTAACTTCTTGGGCTTCAATGTAAACGATTATCATTTGAACATAATAATGTAAATGTACGTATGTATTCTTAGTGGATACCGGAATGTAGAATGAAATATTTACTCTGTGCACCTTGTGTATCTCTTTAACTCTCTCTCATTAAACTTAGTAAATTAATTAAGCAAATTATAAGTTGTTCATTGAATCAGCAAAGGTTATATCTGTTGATTACCATAGTAATTGAGCTGTTGCCTTAAGTTATTGAGTGGCTTTTGGTAACATTTTTATAAAATTCTATTGTAATCTCTAATGCATTAGCAATTCTCACAATTAATACAATATAAGTTAATCAGTTGTGCAATGATACAATGGTTATTGATGCTTTTGATAACACAATGTTGTGTTGATGCTTGAATTATTTCAATTCTTCGATTACTTTTATTATTATTTACAGCTTCATTATATCTCTCAAAATCCTGGTGGTGGTGCAGCAAACCTTACTGTTGCATCATCAGTTTATGGATACATAGGCACACCTCCAGTGTGGCGTAGATATTCAAGATTGGTTTGGAAGCAGGGTCCATGTCACTTGGTAGAAGAAGTTCTTACACCTCAAACTGTGGCTATTTTATATCAACTAGGCCCTCAATACATGGGCAGTTTGCAGGCTCCTGAATTGAATGGTAATGTAAAATTGATTTTTGTAAATCCCATCTTAAAACTCCATGTACTTTATAATGGTATTAGTTATCTATATTTTTGGCGATTGAATAATTACTATATTATTGGATTTATATAAAGATTGATATTAGATAATATATCAATTATCTAATTATTGTTGCAATTATTTTCTGTTTCTTAGTTCTTTGCAGAATTTCTCCAGTTCTATTTATTTTTATTGTGATATAATAAAATTTTTAATACAATCATTGTTTCTACACAGGCACTGAACCATTAGCCAGTTTAGTACCCGAGGAGAAAGTTATATTTGGACTGAATGCTAAAGCTGTGTCTCAGCTTACTTTGGCAAAAATTAGAAAAGTTTATAGTAGAGCTGACAATAAAGCCATTGCCAAACAGGTATGTTTCATAGGCCTTTGTAAGAAAAATAATATTACAAAATTCAATATCCCATCTTCTGTATGTGTCGTGTACCTTCTAGTTGGGGATGTCATCTCATGAGAATGCTACTCCAATTCGTATACTCCATAATTCAGCTGGACATCTTAGTGGACCTGCTCGCTCTCTTGGAGGTGTAGTAATAGGGTATTTGGGTGTACGAGTTTTTTCTCCCCGACCAGTGGCTAAAATGGTTGAAAATGTTGGAGGATGTTCTGTGCTTTTGGGTATGAATTGTTCTTGTTTCCTTATAAATTGTAAAGTTAAGTTTAAAAATGTGCATAAAATTGATTAAAAATGCAATTAGTAAGTCAAAAAATGTGTTTTTCTCCAGGTTTGATAGCAATGGCTCAAGATGTGGAAAGTCTATATGCTGCTGTAAAGGCTTTTGTCTGTGTAGTTCGTAGTAATCGAATGGCTCAATTGGAAATGGATAGGAGACGTGGTTATCAAACATTGGCCATGTTGTTACGGAAAAAGCGACCTTTACTCAATAGTCACATATTGCATTTGACTTTTAGCCTTGTTGGCACAGTAGATAGTGGTCGTGAAAGTTCTTCTATTCCTAATATAGCAGCCTTTCAAGATTTATTATGTGACCTAGAGGTTTGCTTTTTTCTTTTCCTGGGTTTAGTTATGTATAAAAAAAAATAGTTATTAAAATATCTTACTATGTCATTATATAGGTGTGGCATGAAGCTCCTGGTGAACTACAGCGTTCTCTGTTTGAACATTTGTATGAATTGGTTGCGGAATCCAGTGAAAAACGTGTTAATTTGCGCATTGTACGTGACCTTCAGTTAGTTCAACGTTTATTATTCATTTTACCTGATGTTACTAATGGTCAGACCCGTCAAGTACTTGTTTCACTTTTGGGTGTACTGCTAGGAGGCCAACCGAGACACGCAGATCTGTTGAGGTATGTACTCACTTTTCAGTAGAGGGTGTGATGCAAAATGATGTTGCATTTACTCCTTGACTATTCATATTTGTATGGAAGTATAGGATATCACTTATACTTCAAATACATTTACACATAATCAGTTCAGTGAAACTGCTATGTATCTTGTATTACTGGACTTTTTTAGATGATGATGATAATGATAATCATATAATTAACAAATATTCATAATCATAACCATATAATTCTTATCATAAAAATCATCATAATAAATAATCATCATTTGAGCATCATAATACTTAAGTTAACCATTTTTTGTAATTGTACTTCTATATTGGAACTGATTACTTTCCTTTATAGATTTGGGCAATTTGTAGCAGCTATGTTGCCATCAATACCTGGCTCCAGTGAGAAACATGTATTACTTCAGGAAATGCCTCCAACTGCTGTGAGTGCGATAGAACACACTGTAGAACATGAAGGCTCATACTCTGCGGAAGAAAAAGGTGGAAGTGAACGTGAAAAGGAAAATGATGTTGTCAGCAACATAGTTTTGCGTAATCGTTGCCTACAGCTGTTGCATTCACTACTTTTTACACCACGTAATTCTGTTAGCCTTATGTAAGTTTCACAATTTTCAGTATTTGTTTAGTAGGTATGTGGAGTGTATGTGCATTTGTGAGCATGAGCAGAGAGGTGTGCCTGCAAGTTGATGTTGTCAATGTTTCACCGAAACCCCATACAGTGTTACATAACTATGTATATAAATATTAAATGTAATATTTGGTTACATGTTATAAAAACTAAATGTTATTTTGCAGCTTTTGCGAAGAAGTTGTTCAAGTTCTTGGTTTAGACTGGGTGCTGCTTTATCTGCAAGGCCATTTACATCCGTCTACTGTTGTATGGGGTTTACGCATACTTGTGGTGTTGTGCTCATGCCCCTCTCTGATTCAAAAATTTCGGGAAGGTTCCTCCAATGGTGGCTGGTTGCAAGACACTGAACTTGTTCTTCAAAATAAAATGGGTGTTGTGTTAAGTGAGTAGCATATCAGCATTATTTATGATAGTCTTTGATGCATAATTCATAAATATTAATAATTGCTGCCAATAATAAGCACATTAGTTAAACATGTTTGTTTTGTCAATAAAATCATTCAAATTTCTTTATATCTAAAAATAATTTTAAAAGATGAGAATACTGAAAAAAAGTACAGTAAAACATCTTTATACGGACTACTCTACATTTAGCTGGAAGAGGTCATCATAGAGGTGGAGTGGATTTTTAGTAGACCACAGAACTCTATCTGATTCCCCCCCCCCTTCTTTCCACCTCTTGAATTCTCGACTCCTACTAGATGCAGACTGTAGAACAATGTTGTAATACTTAAGTACAGTACAGTAAAGTATACTAGTTTAGTGTGTGTGCAGTACACCAAGACCTTGCTGGTGATAGTATTATCAACAGAATTTGTATTGGTAGCAGGATCTGCAGCTTGTAACAAAAGAAAACATAAATTGCATATTTACCCCAATCATAAAAGATTCTGCAAGTGTTGCTCCTTCATTTGTTTCCCAGTGATATGGTTGCTACCAACATAAGTGCAATTTTTTTAGATGGCTCTGATTTGGTTCAGTGCAGAGAGACCTTCCTTACACACTGTATTATATATTAAATGCTTGTCAGTCATCATACAGTCAGGATAAATTCTATTGTATTATAGGATTACATACTCATTTGTTTGAGTTTTTGTTCATTTTTTTATTGTTCCTCTGATTATCTGACATTGGTTTTCTACTGACCATGTCCAGCCTGTGGTTGACAGCTAAGAAGGGGTTCTGCTGTAATCACATAGTTTACTCTTTAATAAACAGGGTAATTCTTGCTTTTGAAATGTATGTTTTTATTGGTATGCAAGTACGATATACTAATTTAACTAATTAGTAGTATACTTATTTGAAACTCATTAATTAGAAATATATTTTGAAGATTTTTCAATACATACTTAAAAATGTATGTGCTTGATAATGTGTAAAAGTGTTACTTACATTCACCTGTTAATTTGGTGCTGTTTAAAGTGGCAAACCATAACAATATATAAGAGTGAATTTAATTTTTTTAAATGTTGCTTACAACCTGAAAATATGTTTGAGAATTTAGCCAGTGTAATAAATAAAAGGGAAACCCAAGTATGGCTGCCTGGAGGTGTCAGCGTTGTGCTGCATAATTTTTTTTGTGTGTCAAAAAAATGTCTTGGGGAATGAGGACAATACTAATTCTTATTGTTTATTGTTCATTAGATAGCCAAAGTGTGAAGGAGTGTATGTCAGACTTATGCAGTGTCTCAAACTGTTCGCCATTTTGAATTCAATATGTAATATTTTTGATGCCTGCTTGGTTTACTAGTTCATAGATAATTGTGTGACCAATGATAGAAAACAAAATTTCATCTCTGATTATGACCATGCCATATTGTTTGGACATCTAAGTAGCTGCCATAGTGATTCAAATATGTCATGTTTATCACTAATCTAGTACATTTACAGTACATTTTTAAAGCTCCCATGGTTCATTTTGATAATTAGATGCAATGCCATACTGATAGGATGTCATTAAACAGCTGCCATACTAGGGGGAATCAAAATGTTCATAAAATCATAGGTAAGTGCTGGAAAATAATTGTGCAATGTTGACGTCAATAAAAAATTTAAGCAAATGGTTGATTTGCAATGTTTTATGACAAATTAGGAACAATATTATTTATTAAAAGGAATGAAATACGATATTTTTAGGTAGAAGAATATAAGATATATATAGAATTTAATAGGACGCAGTACTGAAAGCACTTATTTTAGTAGTAAAAAGATCTCATGTGATTACTATAATACTGGTGAATACAGTATACAGTATACTCTCTTACACACACAACATACTCCTCAGATCACCTCAAAGTCATTGCTGGAACTGTCCTTTCCCTCCAAAACATCCTTTGGTGTCTGTTGTTTAGGGAGCTACCTACTGACTA